ATGCATCCGAAGAAGTGGGCTGTAGTCCACGAAAGCTTATGCTCTAATAAATTTGTTAGTCTCTAAGGTGCCACAAGTACTCCTGTTCTTCTTTTTGCGGATACAGACTAACACGGCTGCTACTCTGAAACCTATCATTAATAAAGATATTAAACAAAACCAGCCCCAGGACCGACCCTTGGGGCACTCCGCTTGAAACCGACTGCCAACTAGACATGGAGCCATTGATCACTACCCGTTGAGCCCGACGATCTAGCCAGCTTTCTATCCACCTTACAGTCCATTCATCCAGCCCATACTTCTTTAACATTTTCCCAGACTTTGAGCAGAAAGTTTGGGTCCAGGGTTCTAGTTTGGACCCATCTTTGGCTACACAATGCATACCCCGATATATTTTTGTTTCTTAAATAAAAATGTAACACGTATTTCCATTTTAAAAGCAAACTTTTGCGGGGGGTTAACAGTTGAACAGGTTAATGACTAAATATAGACAAGGATGTAATGGATGCTGGGGACAGCTGGGGACAGCTGTTAACAGGCTGTCTTGCCTAGTACTCAGAGCAAAAGTACTGGATAGGGGCTCACTTCTGCAAGATGGTGGCTTCACTGAAGTCTATGGAACTACTCACATGCTTAAAATTAAACATGCACTTACCTGCTTTACTGAATTGAGGCAAGAGTGCTTAGCATCTTGCAATACCCAGCCCTATAAGAACGATTATCAATACTAATCTGTAATTAGGTGATAGTTCCTTATGTGATCTTGAACAGGTCATTTGTCCTACGTGAGGCACAGTCAGCGTCACTAGAAAACTCTATGTGCATGCTTGTGTATGTCCCCATCTAAGTTTAGCATGTTCAAATACTTAGGTCCCAGAACGTGTGCATCAAAAAAAAATGTAGGTATGCAAATTTCAACTCGCAGATTTGGAGGTTGAGTTGTGGTCCCTTTGCAATAGAAAACAAGTAATATCCTTTGCACTAGAAGTTTGCATTTCCTCATTTCACCAGTGGAGGTCACTGTCGCCATAGTATAAACCACCGCTTCTCATAATTATTGGTGGTGGTGGTGGTGGTATTGTTATGGTAGCCATTGAGGTCAGGGCCACATTGTGTTAGGCTATGTCTACACTTAGGGTGACCAGATGTCCCAATTTTATAGGGACAGTCCTGATTTTTGGGTCTTTTTATTATATAGGCTCCTATTACCCCACACCCCCTATCCATTTGATGTCTGGTCACCCTATCTACACTTGCCATTTAAAGCGCAAAAAGTCCCTTTTTTCTGCTAAAACCGTGGGAGCCTCTACATTAGTTAATGACTTTTTGGCATGAAACTCAGAAGTTTCACCACAGAAAGAAAACCACCTTCACGAGAGGCATACAGATCTTTCTTGTCTGGGTTTTTTTGTTTTTTTTTTTTTTTTGTGCTGTTGTGAAAATGAAGACACATTCTACCCATGTAAACACCCTTTGGCCTCCGGAGGATATCCCACAGTTCCAAAAGTGACCACTCTGGCCAGCCTCTCTGCTGCTCTGACACCAGGTAAAGGGACGTCCATCCCTCCCCCTGTAAGCCCCTGGAAGTTTGAAACTCCCTTTCCCTTTGCTTATAGATGTGGCGGGGAAAGCAGCCAGATGACATCAGGGTTTTTTTAAAAAAATGCCACAAAATAAACAAGGAAGTAATGGGGCTTCTGGGACATGAAACAGTGCATCATAGGGCAGTAAGCAGGGACCCAGAATGCCTTCCCCTCACCTCCCCTTCCCACAAGACCTATCGAGAGAGCTGCACTGTGGGATAACTGCCCTATAGCGCTGCTCTCATCGGTGATGGAAGTGCTGCTAGTGTAAACACTCTCTGACACCTGAGGAATTAAGTGGGTACACAAGCCAGAGCTTTTCTTTCACCGGTTCCCTATCACCGGTAAAACTTACAGTGCAAAAACTCTGCAAGTGTAGACGTACTACAACATGCTACATGCTACAAACAGTCTCTGGGCCAAAGAGCTTACAGTCTAAGTGGACAAGACAAAGAGTTGATGCTGCTTTACCTCTCCAGGAATGATCTGGCTTAACACCTCTTTATCCCAGGGATCATCTAGAGAAACCTCCAGGGGACTTTCCAGAGCCCTCATGAAAACTTTGTCACCAAACTAAATGGGGGATTAGGTGATTTCCCAAATCACCCTGGCCAGACGTGACTTATCTCTGGGCTCACCAATACACTTTCTGAAGAGCAATTTCTTTTTAAATATAGCAGCTTGCATCAAGGGCCAGGTGTGTTTCAGAAAAGTCTTACAGGTAGAAACCACCAGACTCCTCCACCCGCTGCACCTCACATTAGATTTGTAAGCACTTTGGGGTAGGGAAACTGCCATTTCCTATACATTTTTACAGAGCTTAGCACCTGGGAACCCCAACCTGGTAGAGAGCTATGGTGTTATTGCACTATTCATGAATAGAAGTTGATCACTATGATCAACATGTATTTTTTTAGGAAGAAAATATATAAATATTTCCAATAAGTGCCCTTATAAGTTGATTTGCCAAGTGACGTTGTCTCCCTCCTTGGTTATGTTTATGAGAAATCATGTTGATTAAATAGGAAAATAAATGATTATATGTCTCCATTTCCTCACCCATCTCTCTGCAAGCACATGCACCTCTAGTCTACAGATTTTACCACAGATTAAGGGAGAAATTGTTGTGGGAACTTCTTGGATCCCTGGTCTACGTGGTTTTTCCTAACCTCTGTCTCCTACTCTGCTATTCCCTGGCTAAATTACTGCTATTGTAAATTGCTCATTAAAAGACTTCAGTCAGTAAATATGTACTGCCCCATGTGTTCCGGCTTCTCTAAGATCCTGAATCAAAGACCACTGAAGTCAGTGAAAAGTCAACTATTGGCTTAAGAAGCCTTTGGATTAGGCCCTAATGTGATTGAAGACATTAAAGTAAATGGTTAACAGATATTGCAAATGACAATAGAAAACTTAAAGTAAAATAACAGTCTATCATGGTTCTATTTTTCTTACCCCCTATAGTTTCGTCCTTGGCCAAGTAATTTCTATACATCAGCACTATTTCGATCCAATGCTGGTAAACAAAAGCACTGCCCACCAGGAGTCCAACTAGAACTGCAATCGCACCATATAATATGAATTTGAAAAGTGCTGTTAAAACAAAATTATTGCTGTTAAAATTCAGTGTTTCCATAATAATACTGACATTTACAAGAAATGCTAATACCAGGAATGGGGACTAAACTGACGGACAAGATTCACTCCTGCCTGCCTCCCAAACTTTAAGGAAGTTTGGAACTGGATCTAAGTCCAATTCTGAACATTGTGACTCAGGCCTAGCATGGGAATTCAAGAGAATAGATAGTGTCTTGTTGACAGTGTAAAAAGCAGATCTGTTCTGGAACACAGAGCAATTCTAGCAGTTTTCAAACAAAACCTTTTCCGTTCAGTTTCAAGGAACCCCTCTAACTTATTGAAAAGTAGAGGGCAGTGATGACCACAAGCATATTAGTGACAGTGATCAAAACATATCTCATTATGAGAAATAGCCAGACAACTTCTGGATTTACCTCTTTCCTTCCTTTTTAGCTTGAGCACTCCTGTCGAGTTCCCCACAGAATTCTGAGCAAAGCAGATGAAGTTGCTGTTCAGGTCCCTTTCAGTAACTTCCCTGAGTGTGGCCACATGAACAAATGATTTGCCTTCAAGTTCTTTTACACGAATCCTAAACAAAAAAACACGCCTATCATCCATCTACTATTCATTCACATAAGTCACAAAAGCCCATGATTTTACAAATAAAGAGATATTAACATTCTTGTCATTCACTTGTGATGTCTGTGAAGAAGTAGGAGTATTTTTAGGCATCCTGTTTTTGCCTTATTTTCCCCTCTATGCTCCATTGTTACCCAGTGGGTGGAAAAGGATTGTTTGCTCTCAGGGCAGGCTAAGAGATGTGGGTCTGGGTATGGCTTAGCAGTCTGAAGGCTTGTCTACACTACCGGCCGGATCAACAGGCAGCGATCGATCCAGCAGGGGTTGATTTTTCGTATCTAGTATAGATGCGATAATCAACCACCAATCACTCTAGTGTCAACTCCGGTACTCCACCTCAACGAGAAGCGCAAGGGGAATCGACGACACACCGCAGTGAAGGCACCACAGTAAGTAGATCTAAGTATGTCGACTTCAGCTACGTTATTCACAGAGCTGAAGTTGCGTAACTTAGATCGATTCCCCCTCCTTTCTCCCCCCCCCATAATGTAGACCAGCCCTGAGGCTTGGTCCCCATAGCAGTGGAACATTTGAAAAGACAATGGCAAATCCAATTGCTCAGACATAGACACCTAGCAACCATCGACCCAGAGAGATTTGGATTTCCCCACCTCTCAGCAGGGAGTTTGAGCAACATTCCGCAGCAGAGAACAAAGGACAGGAGAAGTGTGAAGTGGGGGAATTAGAAGTGGCTGCTGGAAGTATTCAGGGCTCTTCCCAGGAGTGAGATGAAAGAGGTCAGACAGAGCTTAAACCAAGACGTTCATTACAGCTTGGCTGGGCTCTGGGCTAACCAGAATGAACTATGCTTTAATTTTCCGTTCTCTATACTACCCTAAGGACTTCCTATGCTGCATTCCAGTTAACTAATAAACCCAACTGTTTTGACAACACTTCTTGGTATCACTGCAAATGCTTGGTGAGGTGCATTAATCCCCGAAGAGTGTACAACTCTCCATCAGGAGTCTGTCTCAGTTGGACTTGCTGAATGGAGCTCATGGTGTGAAGCAGGAGCACCGAAAGCCCATAAGTCAGTCTAAGGAAGCAGTGAAGCCACATGGCTAACAAGGAGACAGAGTGGGACCCATAGGGGGTCTGGAATACTGAAGGGGTTTCTCCTAGAGACTGTTCCAAAGCTGGGGGCATAGCACCAATCCTGTGGATCCATGACAATGTCGCAAAAGAAAAATGATGTCCTTGTATGAAAGTTCAATTTGGTTCTGATCTCATAGTAAGGCCTGGTCTACACTGGGGGGGGGGGGAGGGGGCGGCAAGGAAATCGATCTAAGTTATGCAACTTCAGCTACATGAATAACGTAGCTGAAGTCGATGTACTTAGATCTACTTACCGTGGTGTCTTCACTGCAGTATGTCGACGGCTGACGCTCTCCTGTCGACTCCGCCTGCGCCACTCGCCCTCATGGAGAACCGGAGTTGATGGGAGAGCGCTTGGTGGTCGATTTATCGTGTCTAGACTGGACACGATAAATTGACCCCTGCTGGATCAATTGCGGCCTGTCGATCCAGCGGGTAATTTAGACAAGTAGGTTTGTTTACCTACCACATCCACAGGTTCAGCCAATCGCAGCTCCCACTGGCCATGGTTTGCTGCTCCAGACCTATGGGGGCTGTGGGAAGCAGCGCGGGCCAAGGGATGTGCTGGCCGCAGCTTCCAGCAGCCCCCATTGGCCTGGAGCAGTGAACTGCGGCCAGTGGGAGCCACAATCGACCGAACCTGCCGACGCGGCAGGTAAACAAACTGGCCCGGCCCACCAGGGTGCTTACATGCATGCACCCACATGCACACAGACACACACACAAATGTTAAAAGAACATTAAGGTTGAAAAGCCAAGCATTCAAAAGTTAATACCCAAATTAAGGTCTCCCGCGCAATCTTAATTCAGTCCCCCTGTGAATATGGATTATGATACAGTCTTTAATGGCATGATCACATACTATTTTTTCCACATGACCCCTGTCTCATTCAGTGCTCAGGATGGACTTGCTCTGTGGATTAACCAAGGTTGTGTAGTAAAGGAGACCGGTGTCTGTAGGACCCCTGCTTCATTTGTTGCAGAATTCAAAGGTATGTAGTGACTGAAGCAGGGGATTGCAAGAAGAGAAAGGAGGGTCTGATGGTCAAGATAGTTGAATGCTGCCATGAGGAATTGGATTCGTCCCTGCATCTGTCACAGAGTTCCTGTGTGATGCAGGGCAAGTCGCTCAAACCAAACTTTTCACAGGTGGTCACTAATTGTGTCTCTCTCATTTTCTGCGTGCCGGATTTGCATTGGGAGCTGCAACTGAAGTCAATGGGAGCTGTGCCTACATATAAAGCTTTATGTAAAGCTATATATTATTTGAACATATACAGTGCTATATAATGCTAAGTAATCTGAAAAATCAAGTTGTGAGTGTCTCAAATTGGGCAGCCAAAATTAGTGGACACTTTTGAGCTTAACTTCTCTGTGCCTCAATTCCCATTTGTAAAATGAGGATAATACTAGGGGCTGTGAAGACAAATACATTGCTTGTGACTCTCTAAAGATGGGAGCTATAGAAAAGCCCAGAAAGAGATTGATCATTTTTTCTTTAGAGCAGAGTTTGCACAGGGAGGGTGCAAGGATGTTTCGCGCCCTAGGCGAAACTTCCACCTTGAGCCCTCCCCCCCGAGCCCTGTAGCAGCTCTCCGCCCTAAGGCGCCCCACCGCAGCAGCTCCCCCCCCACCGCCCTGAGGCGCACCCACCCCTGCAGCAGCTCCCCCTGGCCCCGGGAGCCATGCGGCAGCTCCCCGCCCCAGCTCACCTCTGCTCCGCCTCCTCCCCGAGCATACCGTCACCACTCCACTTCTCCCGTCTCCCAGGCTTGTGGCGCCAATCAGCTGTTTGGTGCCGCAAGCCTGGGAGGGAGAGAAGCAGAGCGGGGCGGCGTGCTCAGGGGAGGAGGCGGAGCAGAGGAGAGCTGGGGCGGGGAGCTGTGGTTCCCCTGCGTGCTGCCCCCCCCCTTACTTGCTGCAGGTGGCCCTCCTTGTGCCCCCTGCCCCAGCTCCCTCTACCTAAATGCCGAAGACGACCAGGGAGGCCAAAGATCCAGCCACCGCCGAAGGACCCAAAATGCCGCCCCCCAAATGCTAGTGCCCTAGGCGACTGCCTAGGTCGCCTAATGGGTTGCACCGGCCTTGGATTTGCATAATGTGCAGTAAACAAGGCCTAGGGCCACCTCAGTATGAAGAGAATCAAATTATTGAACAGCTTCTCATTAATTGAGCATCATCTATTCCAGGGGTCGGCAACCTTTCAGAAGTGGTGTGCCGAGTCTTCATTTATTCACTCTAATTTAAGGTTTTGTGTGCCAGTAATACTTTTTAACGTTTTTAGAAGGGCTCTTTCTATAAGTCTATAATATATAACTAAACTATTGTTGTATGTAAAGTAAATAAGGTTTTTAAAATGTTTAAGAAGTTTCATTTAAAATTAAATTAAAATGCAGAGGCCCCCGGACCTTTGGCCAGGACCCGGGCAGTGTGAGTGTCACTGAAAATCAGCTCGCATGCCGCCTTTGGCACGCGTGCCATAGGTTGTCTACCCCTGATCTATTCTGTGCACTGAGCAAGGCAGAGTTCTGTGGACGAAATAGTATGTGAGCATTTAATTAAAGACTGTATTTTTGTATATTAATACATATGCAAAAGGGGGTGGAATTAGAATTGCATGAGCAACCTAACCCCTGGTACTTGCTAAATTTTCAGTGCTTCACTGTAGAACCATAATGTTCTTTTAACATACTTTTTTGTATGTAATTATATATACACATACATATATTCACACATACATAGTAGTGTGTTAACGTGTATTATATATATTAGAAAGAACATGTGTGTGTCACACACATTAGTATGTAATATGTTTGTCTAAAAATCCTCAGTGGACTTTTCTTACATTATCTGATACTCTGTTAGTGATCTTCCAGTGACTCCAGGTAAGAAGATAGTACATTAAAGTAGATATTGAAGACTCGACATTTGTAACCAACATTTGTAGCAGGGTTTTTCTGTTTGGTTGGTTTTTCCCCTTACCGTGTTGGCTTCTGCAAAAGTGGCTCACTTTTACTTTCTTTGTTGTCTCTGTACCAAGTTATCATGGGCAAAAAATCCCTTTCAAAGCCAAAAAATACTTTGCATTCAATTGTAAGAGGTTTTCCTGTGAAAAGGAAACAGAGAAACACTGTTTACAAAAGTCACTGGAAAATCTTTCTCCTAATTAATATGGGAAAGTGGTTGCTGGGTTGAGATGCATTTTTTCCCCTTTGATGCCAACAAAGGCATACACTGTCTCAGTTTTTGACCTAATCCATACAAAACATTGGACCTAAGATCCATACATGTCTTTAAACTGGTTTCTTTCATCCAGTAAAATGTCAATACTCCATTAAATTGTAATGTCCTTCCAGGCCAGAAAAAGAACCGCAAAAAATTCCCACTTACCAACTTCTACTTCAAGGGTCTTCACGCCACTGGGAGACAAGATGTTTGGGGTGTGGGCAGTGTTTCGTGCTGCAATACAAAATAAAAAATAAAATAACTGATAAGACTATATTATGTGTATTGAAAAGGTTGCTATAGTGTCAGGGCCGGCTCCAGGGTTTTGGCAGCCCCAAGCAGCCAAAACAAACAAACAAAAAAAAGCCGCGATCGTGATCTGTGGCGGCAATTCGGCGGGAGGTCCTTCGCTCCCAGGCGGAGTGAGGTACCGTCCGCCGAATTGCCGCCGAATACCTGGGCATGCCGCCCCTCTCCGGAGCAGCCGCCCCAAGCACCTGCTTGACAAGCTGGTGCCTGGAGCCGGCCCTGTATAGTGTCTTAGGCTATGGTAAACTCAAAATGGAATCAGCTCTGATAAGGTTATTAATTATTCTAGGTTACAGACAGTCTATTATATGTTATTACTGAACATTTAACATTCCACCCAAAGCCCACTGAAGTCAATGGCAATCTCTCTATTGACTTTAATGGACTTGGGATGAGGACTTTAATGATGTTTAGCCCGATGGCCTGTCTGAACATTCTTAACATATAGTCATTTTGTAAGTGAGGCCTCAGGTTATCAGGCCAAGGGTTCACTGCATTGCGGAGGGAGAAGGAGACCCACTAAAGGTTTCTGAAGAAACAGCCGGAGAAGAGGGAATAGAACCAGGAGAGGACAGCATTGTCAACGTGAGAGAGGACAAGATTTTCAGAATGTGAGCACAAAGAAAAACAGTGCTGGGGAGGAAAGAGACACTAATTTACTATCGAAAATAAGTTGTTACTACAGATATTTTATTATTCTGAGTTCATATGTTACTTACCAATGATTTTTACTCTAACTACTCGTCTCATTGTCCACTGGATGCTGTTGTCACATACAATGTAATCACATACATAAATACCAGCATCTTGCTTATAGATATGATGCAAGACGATTTTATCATCAGTAAGTTTTAGACTTTGTCTAATCTCCTGAAACATTACTCGAATTCCATTCTAACAAAAAGAAAGGAAAATGAAGCAGTTAGATGGGGGGTTTTCTTTGCTACTAATTAAATTCTCTTTTAAAATCTTAGAGTGGAATTGTCAAGAGCGCTGAATGCAGACCTAACTCTGTTCCCATTGAAGTCAATAGCGGTGTCTGTTATACCATGAGTCTCATAAGATTTGGAGTTGGGGGTGGGGATGGCAGGGTTGTGTATGTTTGTTTGCTTTGCAAGCCCTAGCTTCTGAAGGCAGCTGAGTACATGAGAATCTTAGCTTTCATATTTTTAAAAAAAGCAAATTGCTAACACTCATGACTGCGGTGAAAATTCTGCAAATATGAATGAAGTGGGACCTGAAAACTTAGAAACCAGAAGCCAAATAAAAGGAAAATTGTTTTTTTCTTTTCATACATTATGATTTTTAAATAAATCTCATGATTTCTTGAGGTCTGACTTATGAATTTTGAATGCTTGAGGTTGGCAGTACTGCTATTGCTTTCACTATGAGCACAGAGCAATACTGAATGCTTTTGAAAATTCCAGACATTCTTAATGTCTTAAATATACACACATCCTCTAGAATGATTAAAGATTTTCAATAAATGCCGATCCAATGCCCATTAGAGTAAATGGAAGGACTCTCATTGACTTCAAAGGGTTTTGGATCAGGTCTTAAATGAACAGAGTAAGGAAATTCAAAGAAAGAAAGAAACCAGGAAAGAAAATTTGCCATAGAAGTTGTACATCTTTTACAGGAAATTCAAAAGTCACTTTGGCTACAGAAATGGTTCTAGTCTTGGTTGAACATATAGTTAGTGCTGTAACACTAGATGGTATAAATGCATAGTTAGGTACAATATATCAAGAGTTATTCCTGTATAGCAGGTAAGTCTATTTAGGAAATTGACTAGACTTCATACTTGGTATTATCTGAATGCCAAGAAATCTCAGAATAGTAATTTCCATTTATTGACCTTTTTTAACCTTATACAGAACTGATCCATGTTTTTAAACTGTGTGAAAAAGAAAGAACATCCCTTTCTTGTCTGCCAAATTTTAGCTTGGAGCCAATTTTATGGCCATTATAAGTAAAGCTTGTCAGAAATTTTTCACCAAATCATTTTTCAATAAAATGCCATTTTCATCTCTAAAGAAACTTTTAGAAAAACGCCAATTTTGATGAAATTTCATTTAGAAAATAAACGAAGCATTTTTACATTTTAAAAATGGAACATTTTGATGTTTCGTTTTGAAATAACTTTTGAAAATGAAATCTTTATATATTTTAATTTATAAAAATGGTTTTTTAAAGTTTTAAAGGGTTAAAATCAGAATGGAATGCTTCAATTTTATTGAAACAAAATGTTTTGATCCAGCAGAAATTTTTGTTTTAATTTATTTTGTTTCATGGGAAGCTTAGAATTCTTTGGTTTTGTTCCATTTTGGAACAATTTTTTTTCTCCAAATCATGAAGTTTCCCACAAAATAGAAAATCCATTTCCATCTCAGCTCTAATTAAAAACCTCTAAAATATTCCCCCTCAGGGAGTTGTGCACAATTTGCATTTGCTTCAGTAAAAGTTGTGGGCAAATGTGTAAGTGTGCAGAATTTAGCCTAAAATTGTAACAGCATTGATTTTATTTCGCACAGAATTGGAACAGAGTGACTGTTACCTTGTACCATGTCACTGGTGACCTTCGTAAATGATTGTAACAGTGTATCCCAGGACAAGAAATTGAATGTCCCGTTTGAATGAGAAGAGACAGCTCATTTCTGCCATTATCCGAACAATTTGCATTGTTCTTCGCTTGAACCTTTATGATGTTTGAGAGACATGGGATTTCTTCCCTGTACAGCAAAGAAAAGAAACCAAGGTCAAGTGAAAACAATCAAACATATCAGACGAAAGGAAGAGTTTAGTGGCATGGAGGTTTTTAAGGCAGGTTAGACAAACTTCTGTCAGGGATAGTCTAGGTATACTTAATCATGTCTTAGTGCAGAGTGTAGATGATCTCTTGACCTTCCAGCCCTTTATTTGCATGATTCTATGAATTTCAGCTATCAGTGAAAGTGTACATCAAGGAAGGCTTTTTGACACACTGACATACCTTATCATACAGATATATACTCCAGAAGCATTAATCCCTATCGGTCTAAACCAAAGTGCATTCCCTTCCTGAATGGGGTTAGTGCTTTCATTGCTGATAATCTTCACTGGTTCTCCATCTTTTTGTTGCCAGAACCACAGCACTTTACTTTTATAGAGAAATGAGTTGTTGTACATGTGGGTATGGTGTTGGGATGGCAAAACACATTCCAAGATAAACTCCTCATCAGTAATTGCATGATAAATCCTTTCAGGTCCTTTATAAAGACACTCTGAAAGACAGGCAACAAACATATCAGTGCAATCTGACATGAATATAGCAGAGATTTCATTATATTTAGGGGGGGGGAATGGCCAAGATTTTTAACATGATTGGTGATTTGGGGTATATTTTAGGAGGTTCCTTAAAGGGCCTGTAAGCATGTGACTCGCCGGCAGATGCACCCCCTCCCCCCACCCCCCACTCCGCTGGTTAAGTGTGGTATAGCAGGCTCTCCTCCTTTAGCACCTCCTGTGACAGCTATGCCAGTCATGCAGTGAGAAGAACAGGAGTACTTGTGGCACCTTAGAGACTAACAAATTTATTAGAGCATAAGCTTTTGTGGACTACAGCCCACTTCTTCGGATGCATATAGAGTGGAATAAATATTGAGGAGATATCTTAGAGCTTGGCTGTAGACAATGGATCGTGTGGTGTGTCCTGGATGGAAGCTGGAGGCATGTAGGTAAGTGTAGCGGTCAGTACAGAAAAACTTCAAAAACAGACTCCAATGAGAGACTGCTGAGCTCGAATTGATATGCAAGCTAGATACAATCAACTCAGGATTGAATAAGGACTGGGAATGGCTGAGCCATTACAAACATTGAATCTATCTCCCCTTGTAAGTATTCTCACACTTCTTGTCAAACTGTCTGTACTGGGCTATTTTGATTATCACTTCAAAAGTTTTTTTTCTCTTACTTAATTGGCCTCTCAGAGTTGGTAGGACAATGCCCACCTGTTCATGCTCTCTGTATGTGTGTATATATATCGCCTCAATATTTATTCCACTCTATATGCATCCGAAGAAGTGGGCTGTAGTCCACGAAAGCTTATGCTCTAATAAATTTGTTAGTCTCTAAGGTGCCACAAGTACTCCTGTTCTTTTTGCGGATATAGACTAACAAGTCGTGCAGTGGTTTGCTTTTTCTTGCAACTCAGCATTCTGGCTGGTCACATATAGGTCCACCCCTTCTGGAGTAAAACCAGTAGTCCAACAACTGATAGTCCTTCAGTTTCACGTTGGATCCTCAGACCAACTCTGAACCCACCAGTCCTTGCCCCTGGTATCAGGGAGTTTCAGTAGTCCTTACCTTACCCGTCTCAGGGGCATTTCTGCTCCATCTTCCTCAGTGGACTGATAGGGGAACCCAGCTTCTCCCTTTCCAGGGACCCTTAAACAAGCAGTCAAGGCCTGACTATACAGACCCCTTGCTGTCTCCCTGCACCACTTCTTACCTTACCCTGTCTTACCTTTGCCTCATCCTCTTCCTGGGCACCCAATATATCAAGGTTACACATGTCTACCTTACTTTAAGTCCCATGTGGGAGTGGAGCAGGAAGATTTTGCTTCTTCAGTTTCTCCAGCAGAATCGGTCTCTGTGTCTTCCTCTTGGCAACTGCCTTCCCCCTCTCTAGAGAGTGACTTTTTAACTGTTCAATGTCCTTAAGATCTTTTGGTTTCTAGTCTTTGCAGAACAAGTCTTATAATTTTGGATGGAGCCTGGAAGTAGCATCGTCCCAGCTAATAGTTCAGACATTGTCTCTTAGCTTATGTCTACACTGAAAAAAAACCCAACCCATAGCAATGAGTCTCCGAGCTTGGTCTGTTGACTTGGGCTCATGGGGTTTGCTACATGGCTAAAAATATCAGTGTAGATGTCCCTGATCAGGCAGGAACCTAGGCTCTGAGAACCACCCAGACACAAAGAAGAGCTCTGTGTATCTCAAAAGCTTGTATCTTCTGCCAACAAAAGCTGGTCCAATAAAAGATATTACCTCACCCGCCTTGTCTCTCTAATATCCAGGGACCAGCACAGCTACAACTATACTAGTCACTTTTGAAAATTTAGCCCAATAACAGTAATAACTAAGTATAAAATTAATGAGTGTTTGGGATTTATAGGTCTGATTCAGCTCCCACTGATACAAATAGACTTTCCATTGATTTTAATAGGCTCTGAGGACCAAAAACTTTCAGTTTGTGTAAATTGGCATAGCTCCACTGATGACAATGCTGATTACACTAGCTGAGGATCCGGCTACATGTCTTTAAACACAAACTAATATGTTGCAGCTGTTTTGATTTTGCCTATGTACAGTAATAAATACAAAGTATTCCAAAGTCCAGGTCTTCGACGGGGTGGTGCTATCCTCTGCTGTAGACAGATTGTCATGAATAAATTGCCTAGGGAGGTTGTGGAATCTCCATCTCTGGAGATATTTAAGAGTAGGTTAGATAAATGTCTATCAGGGATGGTCTAGACAGTATTTGGTCCTGCCATGCGGGCAGGGGACTGGACTCGATGACCTCTCGAGGTCCCTTCCAGTCCTAGAATCTATGAATCTATGATTAAACTATAGACTTATCTCCAAGCATCCTTATTTTTATGGGTTTAATATAAGAGTTAATTTACATTAACTAAATTTCACTCCACATAGGAGGCATCCAGGAGATGTGGGTGGAGTGTTAGCTTAAAGAAAAAGAGTTTCATCCAAACTCTACTACTGAGTTAACTATATGATCTTGGGCAAGTTGTTTGTCTCTCTATATCTCAGTTTTCTCATTTGCAAAATGGATATAATAATATTCACCTATGTCGCAGCAATGCTAATAAAACAGTGCTTTGAAACATCTTCATATCCTATTGTGAGAAGTGCTGAATACATGCAAAGTATTATCATTATGTTATCTGTATACTTATTTGATACCTTGCCATTGTCTTTAGACTGCATGTGTCAATGGCAGCCTTCTATATCCAACTGCTCTCAACAATCCACATCCACACATTTTCCTTTGTCTCTTTGTTCTACCATATCAGAGGGACACATTATCTCCACACAATTTATTGATTATTTTATATTCTTTTTCAGCTAATTCTGGTATTGAATCACTCTGGGTAATGGGCTATTGCAGTTACAGCTGATTGGAGAACAGAATTTCCAGCCAGAGGGGAAATTTTCAAGTTTTCAGAAAAAATTAGTCATGATTCCTGACAAAAAGTGAAAACCTTGAAATTTTTCACAGGACAAAAATTCCAAGCTCTTCTCAATTTCATTTTCTCCCTGCTGGCAGAAAGTGAAATTGACAAGAGCCTTCCAAGCAGACATTTTCCCATGGAAATTTTTGATTTTATGCAAAGGGCATTTTCCATCAGGATGATTTTCTGACAGAAAAGTCCCAAAAAGCTCCAATTGTAGTGCTCTATTTTTGTATGAAGCAATGTTTTAGCTTGGATGAAGATGTCAAAGGACTCACAGCAAGCACCTTGCAACTTTCCCAACTGAAATTAATTAGAGCTCTGTGAAATTCCACTAATACATAGCACCATGAGGACCAATAAAATATAGGGCAGGGCAAAACAAAGTAATGAAAGGAGTTTTGGTGATGAGATTAAGAAAGAGGGAAAATCTATGGAGAGAAAGCCATCTATTCCTGATGTATTATTCAGTGGCGTTACAGCAGCAATGAATTTGTTCCATTATGCTCTCAAAATTCCAGTTTTTATTTTTCCATTATATTGAAAATGTCCATCTCCTTTCAGTGCTAACTCTGGGACTACGGATTTTGTATTTTATACAGTTCCAAGCACATCATCGGTGCTTAACAAAAAAAATGCATACAAATTATAATTCATAAAAAATCTTACACAGAATCAGTGAAAACTCATAAAATGATGATAGGATATATATTGATATTAACCAGCCAATACAAATATTTTTTAAACATTTCCAGTAAGACATGAAACAATCTCTTACCTGTCAGATTAAACTCTCTAACCTCTGCTCCTTTGATAAACAGTAGTAGTAAAATCCAGCAAAAAGTAAACATTTTTTCCATTTGAACTTTGATTCACTCTGGAAAAATGTGTTCTTAGTTGGCCTGTGAAGTACTATGAAATAGATGATCAGAGATGTTCTCTGTTAGCATCATCTTCTTTGCTGCAAAAGAGGAAAATAGCCATTTGTTTTGAATGATAGTCTACACTACACTGGAGTGAGAAGTGCTAAGCTATTTCACCCGGTGCACAAAACTGCAGCATAAAAATTAGGGTTGACAATTAAAAAAATTAATTGTGATTAATCACAGTTTTAATCGCACTGTTAAACAATAGAATACCAATTGAAATTTATTAAATATCTTTGGATGTTTTTCTACATTTTCAAATATATTGAGTTCAATTACAACACAGAATACAAAACATACAGTGCTCACTTTATAATATTATTTTTATTACAAATATCTGCACTGCAAAAATGATAAAAGAAATAGTATTTTTCAATTCACCTCATACAAGTACGTAGTGCAATCTCTTTATCGTGAAACTGCAACTTACAAATGTAGATTTTTGGGGGGGTTACATAACTGCACTCAAAAACAAAACAATGTAAAACATTAGCATCTACAGATGCACGCAGTCATGGACGCATGTCCTCTGGAATTATGGTCAAAAGCATGAAGGGACATATGAATCTTTAGCACATCTGACACGTAAATATCTTGCAACGCCAGCTACAACATTGCCATGCCAATGCCTGTTCTCACTTTCAGGTGACATAAACAAGAAGCGGGCAGCATTATCTCCCACAAATGTAAACAAACATGTTTGTCTGAGCGATTGGCTGAACAAGAAGTAGGACTGAGGGATTTGTAGGCTCTAAAGTTTTACACTCTTTTATTTTTGAATGCAGGTTTTTTTTGTACATAATTCTATATTTGTAAGTTCAACTTTCATGATAAAGAGATTGCACTACAGTACTTGTATGAGGTGAATTGAAAAAATACCATTTCTTTTGTTTTGTTTTTTACAGTGCAAATGTTTGTCATCAAAAATAAATATAAAGTGAGCACTGTACATTTTGTATTCTAGTGCTGTAATTGAAGTCAATATATTTGAAAATGTAATAAACATCCAAAATATTTAAAGAAATGGTATTCTAATACTGTTTAATAGCACAATTAATTGTGTGATTAATTGTGATTAATTTTTTAATTGCTTGAAAGCCCTAATAAAAATGGTAAACAGCATTTCCCGCCAAGTGATCGTGTCTTTTAGAAAATTGATATGTGCCACGTTTTGGTCATGCAGAGCATTTTGTGCAGATCCATGGTAGACCATATACACATACTGCAAACTTTAATTAAACAAGTTGTATAGGGAGTGATAGATGTACAGTCATATTTTCAAAAGCATTTGTGCATGCAGTTAGCCTGATAGTCTTCCCCCCCCCCCCGAA